TCTGCTAGTTTATAGGGGTAGACTTTCTGATTATCTGTGCCAGAGACATAATCTTGATTGCATTGTCAACAAATTCAGTCTCCAAATAACTGAAGATTTTTATGGCTGGAGAAACTCCAGATATATAGCATAGGAGGGGAGGCAGGGATGAGGATGAGGTAATCCAGTCTGTGATCCATCTCCAGCATTTACAAGTTTCCCTCTTCATCAGATTTAGCTCCTACATCAAACTGGTATTTATCTAGGTGGGGAAGAGTAAACAGTGGGCATCCTGGAAATGGAGCTGGGTTGGCTTTTTTTTTTTTTTTTTTCTGAAATGAACTGAAAGAGAGGGCACTATGTAAGTTTGCATGAGATACTAAACAAATCTGGGTAATAAAATCCAAAGTTAAGTGAAATACTCTACAGGAAGACTTTTTTTTTTTTAATCTGAGAGAGTAGACAGAAAAATGAATGTCAGTTTGGAAAAGGATATTTAGAGAATGGTAGAGGGAGAACTAATTTGTAGTGAGAGGCTATGTTACCTAGTAGTTGGGCCCATACGATCTGGACCCAGACTACCTAGATTCAAATCCAGGTACACCAATTAGTAGCTATATGATCATGGAGAGGTTACTTAATTTCTCAGTTTCTTCATTTATTAAGCAGAAATATCAATAGTAATTACCTCATAGGTTTGCTGTGAAGATTAAAAGAATTGATACATGTAATATGCATAGAGCAGTATCTGGCCCAGAGTAAGTGCTTAATAAATGCTAGTTATTACTATTATGTAAGATGTCACCTGGTGTGCCAACAAGACCAGCAAGATGCAGGAGAACTAAAGCTACAAATGTTCTATATTCTTTTCCTGATGAGAAAATCCAATACATTTACTCTTTGACTGTGGAATGTGTGTGTTTTGGCTAAAACAAGAAAGAAGATCCATAAAAAGGCTACTAAGATGAAGATGGGAAGAGAGGGGCTTTCGTATAAGGAGAGAAAATAGATTGGGCTCTAGTCTGGAAAAATGAAGACTGAGATGCACTATGATGAATTTTATGAAGGACAGGAATAGCATGAATAATAACTTGTTTATGAAATACTGGAAAATTAGAATTGGTGTGAAAGACAAATACTTTGAGGTGAATACTTGAACAGATGGTTACTTCACTGTGTTTGCACAAAGTCATTCAGTTATGGAGCTCACCAGCTCAGGAGTTTCAAAGCAATTTGGATGAAGGATATGTGTCATGGTCCCTTAGCTATCAAGGGTAGTTAAGGAAGTTTGTGATAGAGCCCTAGTTTAGTCTAGTTCAGCATTTGTAAATAGCTTATATTAATGTAGTATCTAGCTACTTTAAAACACTCAGCAATGTTAATTCGTTGGATTACTACAACAGTAATTTACTGAGTTTATACTGTAGTCAAGGCTCTGGAGGGAATCAAAAGATGAGAAGGATGACTCGTGTTGAAGGTTCTGCTCTGTATTGCCACTCAGAAAACACTATAATTAAATTAATTTAATTTGAAGGCTTAATATATTTGGTTCACTTTTACTTATAATGTTTTGAGACCAGAGGATTTTTAGTTACTTTTTGAATTCATAATTAGTATTTTGAAGAAATTAAAGAAAAAAGTTCACTTTGTTATTGTCTTGTTTTCATAACTTCTACCCAAAACAGCTTACATTTATATTTATTTTTAGAGTAATTATTCATAAAAAGCCATTTTAGAGCTAAAAGTTAATTTAGAGATCTTCAGTTCCTCATTTCACAGCAGGAGACAGGTCTCTTAGGTGACATGCAAAGGTGGCAGAACTTGAATCCAAGCCCAAGTTCTAGTCTTCTGTGTTTTCTTTCCCATCAGTCTGCTTCCTCAGAGGATCAGGGTGATTGCATGGTAGGTAAGCTTATTTCTGTGTACACACAAACTCAAATGTGTTATGCTTCATCTTGGAGCACCCAGAAACAGATTTACTGTGAAGCCAATGAAGCTGAAGCATCAAGACGCCCCTCACTTGTATGAGCCTTGAGTGGGGAGAGGAAGCCAGGTTGTAATCAGAAAACATTTCTGCATAAGCATTTCTGGTAAATGCCCTAAAGAAATAATGTAAGGATGGACTCAACTTTCTAAGGCTCCAGTAATTTGTCATGATTTTTTACATTCTAAAAAAACCCCCTCACTTTTGTACTTATTTTCTGTTTGTAATTATATGTGTGTATGTGTGTGTTTGTGTGTGTGTGTGTGTGTGTGTGTGTGTGTGTGTGTGTGTGTCTTAAAAGAAGTACCCTACTCCTGCTCCAAGATTATATAAATTTTAGGCTCCATAAAACCTGGATCTGCTTCTGATGCCCAAAGATATAATCAGTTGAGAATTTCATTTTAATATTTCTGATTTTTATTTTTAAATTAATTTTATGAAACAATTTGAATGCATTTAAATTACTTTTATTTTTGTTTTATTTTAAATTAACTTAAAATTTTATTTTAATAATAAAATGGAGATAAAGTTGTGTTAAAATGTTTTAAAAATGGAAGCTCCTTGCCTCATCCTTCTCTACCTCTTAGTTTTGCTCTACAGAGTCAACCACTTTTAATTCCTTTAGATTTTTTCCTGTTTACCTCTTTATTGTTTCTTAATAATTTACTTTATTGATCAGTTTTATACCAATTTACAGTGATGTAAAGTTTTAAATCAATAATAAAATGGCATCATATTATTTTATCAATTATATATTGACTTCCTGTGATGGTAGCTAAAGATTTAACTTTGTTACTTCAGACAACCCTTTTCTCTCTTTCTATTTCCCAAAATAGTTAAATCACAATTTTTGTTTACCTCAGTTATTACTATTCATATTGCAATGACTGTGGAAATATTATTTACAACAAAAGCAAGTAGTGTCCTATGGTATCCTTTCTTGTTTATTTGTTCTAGAGTTAATAATGATCTTTTTCTGCTTAATTTACTGTGTTATATATTTGAAACACTACCTTTTCTTTCTTTTCATATAGCTTTTTGTTCACTGAGTTCTTTTGTTTTTCCTTTTACTTAATTTTCTGTAATCTTGCCAAATACATCATCAGAACTGTCAAGCATCTATCTTATCAATATTATTTGTGGAAGTGGTGAAACATATTAGATAAACTACCAATCTTTCACCTCCCCACCCTTTTCCCCCTAGAGACCTCCTTCTGTAATTCTTCATCCTCCTGCTCCAGGATGGACGGATTTTTTTCTAGTGTCTGGAAATTTCATATAATAAGCCTTTAGTGAGGATGTTTGGTAAGGATGACGCTCAGTGGGCTCTTTCTAAATCCTAGGGAATTGTCTACTTATTTTAAGCAATTTTATATAAGCAGATTTTGAAAGTGCATTTTAAGTATCTAGTACCATAAAAGGACAGATGGCCTTCATTTTTTTAGCTGACTAGGTTTACAGAATAGGTTGAAGGGAGTGCTCCTAATAATAATGGATAAAGTACCACAACTGGATGCCTGAAATGTCTAGTGATTTAAAGCAGGATTTGCTAACATGTAATTTAATGCCTATTTTTCTGATGTGTGTTAACCTTAGGGTGAATTATATGAATTTTGAATCCCAGATAATTATTAAGAATACATTCCCAGACAATTTCTTGTTATTTTCAAACTCATAAGGGCACTTGCCACTATGAAAACCAGTTTTTAATTTATAGAAGTTAAATATAATTTAAGACACACAATATATTTTAAAAGCATGATACAAAATTTGTTTTGCATACTATTTTTTGTTAGTTGCCTTAGAAGCATTTCACAATAATGGGGAATTAACTACACTAGTACCAATTATAGCTTCCCCCCCAATACTTTATATATGCAGAATATTTGGTTAATTCTTATTATATACTTCAAAGTAGGCCAATGGCATTTTTTTTTTTTTTTTTACTTTACTAAAGTAGAAATTAAAGCCATTACTGTTAATGATTAGGTTTTCTTATGGAGGATTTTCTGTTATCAGATAATTCCTTACAGGGTAAATGAGGATTTGTGTTTTCTTAGATAATCCAATATGTAAATCAGAGATGGTGCTGATTCTTTAGAGAAGGAAAAGATTATTTTCAGTGTGTTTCTATGTAGTTTAATCTCATTCCTTTTTTGAGATTGTTGCAATTCAAGTGGCATGCTGTTCAGTTGAATTCTTATAGAACATAACCCTATACTTTCGTTTGATTTATTTTCTGAGAACATCACTGGAAGAAAAAAGATTTTGAAATCCTTAAGATCTTGGTGGAAACACTCAATCCTGATAACCTTTACAAGCAGAGATTAAATGTGTTTGATCAAGTCCTCCTCCCAGAATGCACTGCTATTGGAATGCCCCTGGCCTCTGTCTAGGCCTGTAGCTTTGAAGCAACTACACATCTCAGGATGCACCACCCCTTCACCCTTCCTTTTCTGTCTTCAGTGGTATTGTCTGTTGAAAGTTGTGGACAGACATAGGAGTGGTGAATCCCTGGGGGCAAGTGTAGTCTACCCTGTTTGCCTGAGATTTTTTTTTTTCCAGTTAAGTAATTGGATGGTGATGGGATTCACACTGAAGAGTGGTAGGAACAGAGAAATACCTACTGGAGATTATGGTAGGATTCCTGGCTGTTTCTCAAAGAATTCATTGCTTACTTCCTGCTTGATGTTCCAAGACTTATAAAACTGAAGGTGCTTTTCTAATATCTCTATTTCAGCTCAAGTTACTTCTATGCATAGAGAGAGTATTGGTTAATTTGGTGCAGTAATTCATTTCCATCGGTGTTGTGGGGCCTTTTCCTGGATTTTAGCATATGAGATTGGTTCTAAACTTTTTCTCTAGTGATACTGTACATTTCTCCTGCAATTCTGGATTCTTTAAAATGAATGATTTTGCTGAGTGTTTTGCATAAGGGGTTTCTGGACACTTGCATTTATATTTTATTACTGGAAGCTTACCAAAAATAAATGTTTACTCAGTCAATTGACTGAAAATTTTTGGTTTGTTTCATCAGTTAGATTCAACATCAGGTCTCTCTGAGGAACAGTTAAGGTGTCTTCTGGATGAATGCACATTCAAACAAAAATCCATGATTCGACTTTCTTCAGAAAGAGAAAAGAAGGACATTGAGGATATTATGCCTGAATCCCCCCAGCTCTCGAGATCTATCCTCTCTGAGTTACCAACTATGTCAGAAACAGAGGTCAGAAGCACCAAGGTGGAAGATGTAAATATGCATGAGAATGCAGAACGTAAAACATCTACAGGCTACTATCTCACCAAAGCCTTGACTGGGCATTACATGTCACAAGCTCTTGTCATCGAAGCTGAGAATATGAAATGCCTCCAATTTTCCAAGGATGAGGTTTTTAGTGATACAAAAGACTATTTTATGTCAAAGACTCTTGGCATCGGAAGACTGAAAAGGCCTTCTTTCTTGGATGATCCACTGTATGGCATCAGTGTGAGCCTTTCATCCGAAGACCAACATCTGAAACTCAGCCTTTCAGAGAAACCAAAAACAGGTAAGGCTTGGAGAGTATGTGTTTTGGTGAATAATTCTTACTAAAAATCTCAATGTAAAAGTATTATAGTTTAAAGTAGAGTAGGATAAGGAGGTATGTTTGTGAGTCACAGATGACGTTGATTAAGAGCATGTAAACATAAGAACATATTTATCGATGTTTGTATGAGATCAACGTTGAGATTAGTACTCTTATGAAATATATTATTAATGATAATTAACGTATTCTTTTTTAAAATTGGTATAAAATTGGTATATAATATTATATAAATTTCAGATGTACGATGTTGTAATTTGATATCTGTATATACTTCAAAGTGATTACCAGCAAAAATCTAGTTACCATCCTTCACTATACAATTGACTTCCTTTACTCATTTCACCTACCCCTAATCACCTTCCCCTCTGGCAACCACCAGTCTGTTCTCTGTATCTATGGGTTTGTTTTTGTTCATTTCTTTCTTTTTTTTTTTCTTTAGATTACACATATGAGTGAAATCATATGGTATTTATCTTTCTCCATTGGACTTTTTTCTCTTAACACCCTCAAGGTCCATCCATGTTATCACAGATGTCAAGATTCCATTCTTTTTTATGGCCGAGTAGTATTCCAGTAATACACACACACATGCGCGCACACACACACACATCACATCATTTTTATTCATTCATTGATGGACACCTAGATTAACACATATTCTTGATGGTTATCCAGAAATCAATGTTGATTTCAGAGGAAAAGAGAAATTAGTTTGAATAGATATAAGAATTTGAATAGATTTGCTTAGTATTTCAATTTCCAAACTTCAGTGATGAAAATTTGTTCTAAGGAATGAATTTGTAAAATGCCATTTATTCTTGCAATTTTATGAGTTTCTGTATGCAGACTTCCCATCTCAGCTACTTGCATATTCTCAGGTATTTTGTCTTAATCCAATGTTGCATCTTACGCAGTGATCCAGGGTGCAAATACTATGGGCAGTTTTTTGACATAAACAAATTTCAATTATTTATCGATGTTAGAGGTCTAACATAGTCTGTATTTTTTTAATCTATTTAAATAGCTTCAACTTTTCCTCTAATGTAGATTAAATATATTATCTGTCATATCTATATCTATCTATTAGTTATTAAATCTATCATCTGTTAATTCTGGACTAACCCCTCAGTCCTGTATTTCTACCTGCCTGCAAGGCAAGTTCATCTGGAGATGGCCTCAAACTAATTTCCTCATCTTTCTTTCAACTCATACTTTCATCTTAACCTCTGTCCCCTCAATCACTCAGGCTCAAAATCTGCATCATCGTTGCATTTTCTCTCTCCCTTGCTTTCCACTTTCAATCTTCAAACATTGTTTGTCTCCTCCCGCAGCGTCTCCCATGTCCATCCCTTCCTCGCACTTCCTACTACCTCGACTGGACCAATGCAATAACCCTCTGTCAGGCTTCCCTGCCTCTGATCTCTTCCCTTCCTCTTGTCATTGTCAACCACCACTAAACTAATTCCCCCAAAGAACAGCTTTGATATCCATACTTCCCAGATCAAAAAGCTTCTATGGCTCTCCACTGCCTAATGAATGAAATCTGAATTCTTTCACTTGATGTTCAAGGCCTCCATAATGTGACCTGAAGTTCTCTTCCTAATCGATCTCTGACTAGTCCCTAGATGTTCTTCAGGTTATAGCTGATTTGGTCTCAGGATTTCCTGTGTTCCTCAGGAATGCTCGGGTACCCCTTCAACTCTGAATGTAACCTTCCTTGGTCCCCTCTTTTAAACATTTTATTTCTCCTCTGAATGTCCCAGAGCACTGATTCCCTATCAGATCATTTTACACACACTGTCTTGACCTTGTTATGCGCACACATATCTTCTCTTCCTTAAAATTGTGTGACCTCTTTGAGGACAGAGATCCTGTCTTCTGATTCATTGTTATATCCAAAGTGCTGCCTTAAACCAGGGGCCTATTTAATAAATAAAAGAATTTAAATTATCCAGTTTTAGAATACACTGAAAATATGGTTTACATTTGTTCTTCACATTATGAACTAAAGTCAGTGGTATCACAAAGAATTATGCAAGCCTTACATTCTATATAAAGATCTTGAGCTTTTTTAAAAATGAAATTTTACAAACTGTAAAGTTTTTATCCAGTAGCAGAATTCACTTACAACATGTAATTCAGTAAGATGGGTGCGGTCTGCTTTCCCCCACCAAAGATTTTCATTTAATAAACAAAAGAACAAAATACAAAAACTTTGCTCTACTCTAAAATTTTAGTGTATTTTCTTTCTTCTTGGACAAAAGGTTTTTATTACAGAGAAAATATCTGCATCACCTCTTTGTTTACCCCAATCCAACTTGCTTAATTGGATGTATAGGGGGGCCTCATTCCCATATAGGATCATTTCCATATGGGATCAATGTGTGTGTGTGTGGGGGGGTGGCTTTAGAACAGCATTTTGCTAAGATATGACTTTACTTCTATGTGAATGTGCATCACACTGATGGTGTATCTATTGCTGAGCAGAACATGACAAGATGGAATGAACTAAAATTTAATGTGACTTAATGGAAAGAAGCTATGGTGGCTTATTTCTAACTCCACAGAACATGTCTCTGATGGCACCAGATAATCCTAATGTATGATTGTAACAACCTTGTGTCTGGAGGATTAAGATGGCATAGAAGTGAATATGTGCACCATATTTTATTTTCTGTTCATTACATAACAAACCTTAAGGAATAGGTCCTACATTATCATTTTGAGTGTGTTAGTATATCTAAACTTAGAGTTTTTATTTTACTAACCTCAGCATTTATGATTATTAAAATAATTTGCTAATAAATTTTATTCTGAAATACTAAATTGTACATTATGTACTTTCTACAAAAGTGTACACCAAAATCTAATGCTAAACCAGTTTTCTGGGCAAAAAGCCCTTTAAAGATGAAATGGTAATGGAGAGTTGCAGTGTGTTCAGCTGTTACATTATATCCTGGCTCTTTCTCGGGAAATAGATACATGTGAATGTGATTCACAGTAGATTTCTATAAGACAGAAAAGAAAAAAATACCATTTGTCATTTTCTCTTTCAATAACAAATATTATTGGTATGTAATTTTCTTTTCCTTGATGAACTGAGGTCTGTTACAAGTGTTAAAATTCTGCTTCTAAAACGCAGAGTCAGATAATACTTCAAAGGAGAACCAAACCTAATGGCACTGAGGACCAATTTAAATCATGGTATTGAAAAATGAGTCTTTACTTTGCAGCTGTATTAAGTTTCCACTGTGAAATACATCATGTTTCATGTTTGTACGTTAAGTTTAATGGTAACTACTGTTATTTGACTTTCTGGATACAAGGTTCAGTAAATTCAGTGTTGTACTCACTCACTGTTGGGGTTCTAGGGGATCAAAAATAGCACCTTCTCTTTCCCACCTGGATCAGAACCAACTGAGAGAGAGATGGGTCCCAGCGAATGGAGATCAAAGAGATTGGCTTTATTGCTGATGAAATGTAGGGGATTGTTGTGACTCGAGTAGGCAGCCAGGTTTCCTAATGCTGCACCACCAAAGTAAACCTACACATCCAGTCACTGGCAGAAGTGAAGAAATCTCAAGTCTCACCTGTTTACCCCAATCCAACTAATAGTATGGAGGAGCAAAGAAGCACCCTTGGAGGGGATGCTGACTCTCTTGGAGGAAGGTGCTGCCCCGAGTGTGCCATTTCTTCCTCCAAACTCACCAATCAAAATAACTGGCTCTTCTTCCCATCGGGAGAGTATTGGGGGGTGGAGTGAGGTGAGATGCCGCCCCACTATAAGTTCCTCCACATGGGAGCATGAGGAAAGTGAGAAGTAAGTGTTCCACGGTACCACTTAATGTCAGAACCACTGCTGTGTACGCTGGCACTTGAGAAGGAAAATGCTTCAGTATATTATTTAGTCAAATGATCTTATGCTGAATTGCTTTCTAGATCATAAAAAAGGCATGTATGCATGTACAGTATTCTTTTTTTGACATAAAGCACTCGAACTACTTATTAACAGAAATTCATATAATAAAGAGTAAAACATAAATAACAAGTAACAAAAATAGAATAGGGCAAAAAAAGGTTACAAAGTTATATAGTAAAGGAGACAGAACTATATTAATTCTTCCAGGAAAACAGTGGAATTTCCCATAGGATCCATTTAGTGAATAGTGTTCTTAAAAATACTATAACAAATACAAAAATGAGTTGGGTGAGGTTGTTTTAAAAATAACATCCCTAAGTGAAAACTAGAGTGACCAACTGTTTTGGTTTGCTCAGGAGTGTCCTGGTTTTACCACGGAATGTCCCTTGTCCCAGGAAACCCTCACTTCCTAGAAAACTGGGGTGGTTGGTTGCTCTAAATTGAAACAGAACATAGAAAAATTACCCAAAGGACAAAGCTAACAGTCCAGGCTAGAACCTAGAAGAGCAGAGTGGTGCCTGGCTTACCTACCCACTGGCACGATCTGTCTTGGAGTGTGGGCTCTGGGTAAGGGATATCTGGGTTTGAATCCTTGCTCTGCTACTGGCAGGTGATCTTAGGCAAATTACTTAATCTCACTCTCCTCTACACCTTGGGTTCATTATAAGTAAGATGGCTTAATATTTACCCTATAGAGTTATAATAAGATCAAATGAGAAAATTTACATAAAATGATTAGGTCAGTGAGTGGACTTGGTTGGCTTACATGGTCTTTAATGTGTAATCAGGAGATTTCCTGTAAATGTCTGGATTTCTGACTTTTCTGACAAATCAGCAGATCCTTCCACTAGAGAGGCAAGCTGAGTAGCAGATGTTCCTTTAGAAGGGTCATGTAATCTCCAGGAATATATAGTCTGTATCTGGCCCTCTCTACTTCACGGGCTTGGCCCTTTGGAACCCTGTGAGCATTATTCCTAACCAGGTTGAGCAAGCATTGGGGTTATCTGGGGAGTTTTTTGCTTGTTTTATACCTATGTCAAAGGCTCTAGCCAGACTTACTGAAATCAGAATTCCTGGTATGGAACGTTCAGACTGTCAGATTAATGCAAACCACAAGCTTTTGCTGTGAATATTTGAGAAATATAGGTTTCAGTTTAGATGTAAGAAAGCTAATTATGTTATCCTATTGTGGTCCTCAGATAGAACAAGTTCTATCAAAATTGGCAACTATACAATCTGAATATACCTCATATTGAAATTCTGCCCATCAAAGTTTTATTTGATTCTAACTTGCTCAATAAAGGCTGGTTGCAGGTGGATTGACTTTTGGCAATGCTGCTGCGGTGGTTTGAAGGGGACATGTGTTAATATATGTTATTCTTCATACCACCTGAATAGTTTCAAAGAAACTAGGTTGTATTGAGAAAGTTTTCTTTGTTATAATATAGTCTTACTGGTTTGCAGTGAGGCAGTGAAATTCTAAAAATAGTAATACTATTAGCTAATTTTTTTCTTTTAGAAATGTTTTGGCTTGCTCTTAGGGAAATACTTAACTTGTTGCTTTGATAGAGTGTTTCTCTGTGTGCGCCTTCAGGCCTCCCTATTAGTATTTGTTAAATTACTTTTCCAAGGCTGCTAATTCCTTCTTAGATGCTCTTAACTTAAACCTCATCAAAAGTTTATTTGATCAAAATATCAGAGCTGCCATATTAGAAATTTCCAGTGTTTTTTTTTTATATATTACATTAGTACATAGTAAGTTTACATTTGATGACTTTATCTTTTCAAGTTATTTTTTAACTAATTTTCTTTAGTCCAATTCTTCTTGAGATAAACTGTTCATGTACATATTTGCCACTTATTTTTCTCTACATATTAATTATCATTTTTTCATTTTGATAGTAGCGTGAACAGTGGCATATTGGAGAGTTTTAATATTTAATATACTTGTCACTTTATCAGTTATTGGGAACTTCTGATTCCATTGCTTTATTCAAATTGGGTAAAATGAAAAATTACTGAAGATCATCTGACTAGACGAGCAGTATTGTCATTATCTGGGTGCTTATTAGAAATGTGGAGTCCCAAGCTCTGCTCCAGATCTACTGTATCAGAGTCTAATTTTAACAAGATGCCCTCACCAGGTGATTTGTATGCAGGTTAAAGTGTGAAAAGCTCTAGACTAGATATGGTTTACTAGTCACTCTACTTTAGGATTGTAAAAAATATTAGCATATGTGGCAGTAGTGAAAATAACAGAAGGTATCTTTTTTCCTGTCTGCTCAATCCATGCTTGTTTTCATTTTGATGAAGAAACTACCTTAAATTTCATTCTGATGAAGATACTACCTCTCCAGATTGTCTTCTCTCTCCAGCCATCCCTATTGTCCTTTTGGGTAACCTTACCCTTATCCACTGAGAGCAAGCATGTCCTAACTTGAGTTCTCTACTCTTTCATGGTTAATATTTTATTTGGAGACACATATAGCCAGTATGGGATCATTTAAGCTTTGTATACTTGTGATTTTTAGATATTCCTACTTGGTATCTGCCTCAAATCTTTCTGACATTTTAAGCTATACTGAGTCCATTCCTTAGGCAGCACTTCTTACTTCTGGTTGCACGTTAGAATCACCTGGTGAGATTTAAAACAGATTACTACGTTGATTATATCCCAAATGAATTAAATAAATTGCTAAGGTTTGACTTATCAGTACTTAAGTCACTTTCTGAGAGTGGGGTCTGGGTGATTCTGTTATGTAGCCATACTTCCATGTCATTGCTCTTGGTTCTTCATCTTATTCATTAAGGACATTAGTATATAAAATGAGTAGGACATAATCACTACTCTGAATTATTTCATAGTCTGTTGTTGAAGGCAGGCACTTAAGCAGATAGTCACAGTAGGGTGGGACAATTATAATAAGAGTTTTAGGACAAAGTACATGGCAACACTGCAAAGGGGATGATGAAAACTTGGAAGATGGGAAATGGGGATGTGGTATTCAAGTTACGCCTCCAGGGATGAGGGGTCCTTTTCTGGGTGGGCAAGGAGAACACTCTAGATGGTAGCAATAGTACTTATGAAGGCATGAGGTCATGGTCTCATCATTCCTCACCTTAGGTGAGGTCTGCTTCATATTCATCCTGCCTTCCTCTACAACTTGTTTAATATTTCTTCTCTGTGGGTTGACAATATCACTATATTTTTTACTTTACTCTCTGCAACTACAAATCATTTAACCTTAATTGTTAGGTGGACTTTTTTTTAAATAACAGCTTTGTTGACATATATTTTATATACCTATATTAGATTCCTGTGGTTGCCAGAACAAATTATCACAACAGAAATTTATTATCTCATGGTTTTGGAGGCCCAGAGTTGAAATCAAGGTGTCAGCAAGGCCACACTCAGCTTGAAGGCTCTAGAGAACGCTTTCTTCTTCTGATTTCTCAGGCTGTTGACATTCTTTGGTTTCCTGCTTTGTGGTCACATCACTCCGATCTCTGCCTGTCTTCATATTGCCTTTTTCTCTGTGAGTCTCGAATCTCCCTCTGTTCTTATTAGGACATTTGTTATTGAATATAGGGCCTTCCTGGATAATCCAGGATGATCTCCTCAAGATCCTTAGCTTAATTACCTCTGCTAAGACCCTTGTTCCAGGTAAGGTAACTTTCACAGGTTCCAAGGATTAGGATGTGGACATAACTTTTTTTGAGCAACCATTCAACAATACTATCCAAGTCAGTGGTTTTTAGTATATTCACAGAATTGTGTGTTCTTCACCACTATCAATTTTACATTTTCTTCACCCTTAAAACAAACACTGTACCCGTTAGCAGTCACTCCCCATTTTCCCCAACCTTTTAGCCTCAAGCAATCACTAATCTACCTTCTGTCTCTGATTTCTCCTGGTCTGGACATTTCTTGTAAATGGAATCATGTACAATATGTGGCTGTTGTTTCTGCTTACATTTAACATAATGTTTTCAAGGTTCAACCATGTTGTAGCATGTATTAGTACTCCATTCCTTTTTTATTGTTGAATAATATTCTGTTGTATGGATATGCCATACACATTTTATTTATCCATTCATTAATTGATGGACATTTGGGTTGTTAATACTCCTTCACTGTTATATGTAATGCTGCTATGAATATTGGTGTACAGATTTTGGGTGGACGTATGTTTTCATTTCCCTTGGGCATGTACCTAGGAGTAGAATTGCTGGATTTATCGGAACTGCCATTCTGTTTTGCAAAGCAGCTGCACCATTTTAGATTCCCACTAGCAGCGTATGAAGGTTCCAGTTCCTCCTGATTCTTTTTTTATTGGTTTTCATTTGGTTCTGTTGTCAATACTGCCTTTTCTGATAACCTTCTCACTAACATTGCTAGAAGAATATTTCCATTTCACTTTTGTTAGTGTCATAATTTTTTTCTCACATCGAAGAAATGAAAGGTGATCAGTTCTTATCTACTCTATATTATTTATTTTTGGTTTTACCCTACTTCTCAGACTTAGTTCAAAGCAAAAAAAAAAATTTCTTTTTGATGTCTATCTCCAAATCCATAACCATTTTAACTCTCAAAACACAAAACGTTCTCCCTTGGCTGTAAGCTTAATGAAGGCAGGCGCCTTATCTTTCATTTTTTCCTGTAAACTTTGTATGTAGCTTATGGTGACTGTCCAATAAATGTTAAGAATGTGGTTATTGTCTCATGTGTAAAAGGATTTAATGTTTTATAGGCTGAATGATTTTTCTTAATTATGTACACATTTCTTGTTGCCTAACAACTTTGGTTATTGTTTTTCATGTGCAGATGAACAAGAGATTGAAGATATGACAGAAGAATGTAAAGAATCTTAAGCAAAGACTTGCTGGCTGGGGTGTGCTTTAAGAAAGTTGGTAAATTAAGTTAATTTATACTTTTTCTGATTCTTTGAATTCAGTGAATGCATTGTAGAGACCATTCTTCAAATGATTTTAATATTTGGATTCTTTCTGGATTGCATTTCATTGATATTATTGTTCAATGGTTTTCTTCCTTGAAATTCCTGAGAAAATTGTTTTTTATTACTAATCTTGCAACATCAGGAATACATTATAGAAGCCAACATTTTATCTATCTGTATTTTAAAACTGGTTGAAGTGCTATGATTGTTTTGTATTTGATTTTATATGTTACAACTTTACTGTGATTCAGACAAATTTAATCACTATGAATTTTTGTTTTGGCCCGGGTTTTCCTTGTTTTCCTCCTCTCTCATGCCTGTTAAGTAAGTACAACTTGCCATAGAAAGAAATGAATTTTCTCAATAAAGCAAAGTTCGGATAGCTTTTACTATCTTATTAGCAATGATACCTTTCTTAAGGAGGAGTTTGAATTATATATTACTTTCGATTTGCTATCTTTGAGAGTTTGCCTTTTAGAATGCAGCAAATAAAGATCAGCTACTTTAAAAAATTCTGTGGTACTAAGAGAGAAGGTTTGTCTAGTTACACGTCAGTAATTTGGATTCATGAGAATATTTCATGTCAACGCTGCATATGATGAATTGGCATTAGAACTAGAAGTCCAATTTATTTTTGATTAAAAAAAAAAGAGCTGGCTATTGTACTGCCTTTAATGAAATTTGGAGTAGTATATATGTATTAGTGTATATGTGTTATTATTTTTTGTTTGCACATTTTCATCCCTTGATATTGGATACTGTTAGTGATCGCCTACATCAAATTTCCTTGACTTTTAGAATGAAGAATTCTGTAGCTACTATTTTCAGAGAAATCGATAAGCAATTTCTTTTGTGAGCCTCCTCTTTCAATTTACATTAAAATAGCAACGATTCATGCTAATGTCTGTGTTACAATGTAATTTATCTTGATGCTCAGAGGTTTGCTGTGGGGGTGCCAGTAGAAGTTAAAAGTTGTGGTTTTAAACTCTCATAGGAATGACATGTGTTGTAGGGTTTGGGTCAGAACAGTCAGAGGGGAGAGGAGATATGGGTAGGACTTTGGAGTAGTGGCAGAGAGGAGCCATTGTTGCCTTTCAAAAGAGCTCAGCTTTCTAAACCAATGTGCTTGTGCTATTCGGGGTGTGTGTGTGTGTGTGTGTGTGTGTGTGTGGTGTGTGTGGTGTGTGTGTGTGTGTGTGTGTGATAGAATGGTGGGGAGAACTTATGGCTTTATAATGTGTTTTTGCAAATGGTATTTGGGGCATGGTGAGACTTTATGTTCCAGGAGTTTGAGAGAGCGGAAGGAAAATAGAATGATCCTAAGTGACGAATTTTACCATTACAAGAGATGACACCATTCCACAGCATGTCAACTGAAGGTCCCTCTAACAAGGACTGGTAAGCTGAACTTATAATTGAACATGAAGGCTTCAGATTAAAGAAGAAATGTTACTCTGATAGGGAGAGAAATTGTTCTTATTAAAAATCAGTGTTTTTATTTTAATGTTCCCTTTAGACCTAGTGATAGAACAAGATAGAGGTGAAAAACTAAGAAAGAACAAGAGCTTATTCATTTCAAGAATGAACTTAGGATTTTAAAATTTGAGGTTTGTGGACTTAAGATTTCTCAAGAAGACTATTGGCACCACTTTTATTGTGAATCTCCACAGGGCCTGAAGTTAATGCCCTTCAATCCATCTCTCTCTGAATCACATAAACAGTTGCAGGAAAAAAAAGCTAGCGACTTGATGTGATGCTTTTAATTTTTTCCCATATTACAGAATTTAATAAACAGTCCTCTTAAAAATATATAGTTAAGAAGCAAGTAAAAAAAACGCAAGGCAAAGAAAAAGTACAGGATAGTATATTTAGGAGAAACAATTCATAAAATAAAGTAGAAGTAGAATTCGTAGAGTAATTACAATGTGTTCTCTAAGAAAGGAAAGAAGATATTTCATGGAAATAGTATAATTCTCAACAATAAAGTTAACAGACAAAGTTTCAACATTGCAGAAAGTAATTTAAAAAGTCAGTTATATTGTAATTAGCGGAATGAAAGATAAGGTGTAGAAAAATAAACTGGGTATGCTGCATGCCTAAAATAGAATTTCTTTTAAGGAGAATTAAAAATTTTAAAAGTTTTTAAATTACAATTGACATACAATATTATACTAGTTTCAGATATACAACACAGTGATTAGACATTTATATAACTTAAATGATTACCCCGATCATTGACTCTATTCCCTATACTGTACTTTACACCCCCATGACTATTTTTATAACTGACAATTTGTACTTCTTAATCCCTTCACTTTTTTCACCCATCTTCCCAACTCCCCTTCTATCTGGCACCCATCAATTTGTTCTCTGTATGTATGAGGCTGTTTCTGTACTTCGTTTTTTAGATTCCCCATGTAAGTGAGATGATATGGTATTTATCTTTCTCCATTTGACTTATTTCACTAAGCATAATACCCTTTAGGTCCATCCATGTTGTTGCAAGTGATAAGATTTCATTTTTTTTTTTTTATGATGGAGTATTATTTCATTGTACATATATGTGCCACCTGTTTATCCAATCGTCTATTGATGGGCATCTAGGTTGCTTCCATATCTTGGCTATTGTAAATAATGCTGCAGAGAACAAAGGTGTGTATATAACTTTTAATGTTTTGGGTTTCTTCAGATAAATACCTAGAAGTAGAATTGCTAGGTCATATGGTGGTTCTATTTTTAATTTTTTGAGGAATCTCCATACTGTTTTTCATAGTGGCTCTACCAATTTACAGTCCCACTAACAGTGCACAGGGGTTCCCTTTTCTCTACTTCCTTGCCAACACTTTTTGTTTGTTGATTTACTGATGATAGCCATTCCGACAGGTGTGATGTGATATCTCATTGTGGTTTTGATTTGTATTTCCCTGATGCTTAGTGACACTGAGCGTCTTTTCATATGTCTGTTGGCCATAAGTATGTCCTCTTTGAAGAACTGTCTATTCAGGTGCTCTGCCTTTTTCTTTTTGGTGTTAAATTGTATGGGTTCCTTATATATTTTGGATATTAACCCCTTATTGGATGTATCATTGGCGAATATCTTCTCCCATTCAGTAGGTTGTATTTTTGCTTTGTTGATTTCCTTCACTGTGCAAAAATTTTAGTTTAACATGGTTTCATTTTTTTCCCTTCTGTTTTCCTTGCATGAGGAGACATATCCAAAACAGTATTACTAAGAGCAAGGTCAAAATGTTAAATGCCTATGTTTTATTCTAGGAGTTTTATGGTTGCGGGTCTTAATGTTTAAGTCTTTAATCCATTTTGAGTTTATTCTTATATATGGTGTAAGAAAGTAATCCAGTTATATTCTTTTGCATGTATCTGTCCAGTTTTCCCAACACTATTTATTGAAGAGACTGTCTTTACCCCATTGTAAATTCTTGCCTCCTTTGTTGTAGGCTAAATGATCATATAGGGGCGGGGTTTTTCTGGAGTCTCTATTCTGTTCCATTGATCTGTGTGTCTGTTTTTATGCTAGTACCATGCTGTTTTGATTACTATAGACTTGTAGTATAGTATGATATCAAGTAGTGTGATACCTCCAAGTTTGTTCTTCTTTCTCAAGATTGCTGTGACTATTCAAGGTCTTTTGTGGTTCCATATAATTTTAAGATTAATCTAGTTCTGTGAAAAATCCCATTGGTATTTTGATAGGGATTGCATTGAATCTGTAGATTCATTTGGGTAATTTGGACATTTTTATGATATTAATTCTTCCAATCAATGAGCATGAAATATCCTTACATTTATTTGTATCTTCTTCAGTTTCTTTCTTCAGTGTCTTATAGTTTTCTGAGTACAGAACTTTTACCTTCATGGTTAAATTGATTTCTAGGTATTTTATTCTTTTCGATGCTATTTGTGGGATTGTTTTCTTAATTTCTCTTTCAGTTCATTTTTGGTATATAAAAATGCAACCGATTTTTACATATTAATTTTGTATCCTGCTACTTAATTTATTAGTTCTAGTAGTTTTTTGGTTGATTCTTTAGGTTTTTTTTTCTATACGATATCATGTCATCTGCAAATGACAGTTTTGTTTATTCCTTTCCTATTTGGATGCCTTTTATTTCTTGTGTGATTGCTGTTGCTGGGACTTCCAGTTCTTTGTTGAATAAAAGTGGTAAAAGTGGACATCCTTGTCTTGTTCCTGATTTTAAAGGATAAGCTCTCAGCTTTTCACCATTGAGTACAATGTTAGCTGTGGGTTTGTTATATATGACCTTTATTTCATTGAGGTTATGTTACCTCTATCCTCATTTTGCTGAGAGTTTTTATCATAAATGAATATTGAATTTTGTCAAATGCTTTTTCTGCATCTGTTGATTTGATGATATAATTTTTTATCTTTCATTTTGTTTATGCGGTATATCACGTTAATTGACTTGTGAATATTGAACCAACCTTGCATTCTGAGGATAAATCTCACTTGATTATGGTGTATGATCTTTTTAATGCTGAATTTGGTTTGCTGATATTTTGTTGAGGATTTTTGTGTCTATGTTTATCAGGGATATTGGCCTGTAATTTCCTTTATTTGGAGTCTCTGTCTGGTTTTGGCATCAGAGTACTGTGGCCTTGTAAAAATTAGTATGGGAGCCTTCCCTCTTCTTCACTTTTTTTTGTAATAGTTTGAGAAAGTAGGTATTAATTCTTCTTTTAATGTTTGGAAAAGTTCACCTGTGAAGCCATCTGGTCCAGGGCTTTTGTTTGTTGGGAGTTTGATTACTGATTCAATTTTGTTAGTAGTTATCAGTTCAGATTTTCTGTTTCTTTCTCAGTCAACCAAGGAAAATAGTATGTTTCTAGAAATTTATCCATTTCTTTTAGGTTGTCCAATTTGTTAGTATATAATTGTTTGTAGTATTTTCTTATAATCCTTTGTATTTATGTGGTGTTGGTTGTCATTTTTCTTTCATTGCTGATTTTATTTATTTGGGCTCTCTCTCCTTTATGAATCTGGCTAAAAGTTTATCATCTTTGAGAATCCTTATATCAGTGTTTTGAACTCTGTATCTGGTACATTGCTTGTCTCCATTTTGGTTAGTTCTTTCTCTGGAGTTTTGTCCTGTTCTTTCATTTAGATCATGTTTCTTGGTCTCCTCCTTATGGGTGCCTCTCTGTGTTTGTTTCTATGTATTAGGAAGATCTATATCTTCCAGTCTTGGCAGAGTGGCCTTGTGTAGTAGAAGTCCTGTGAGGCCCAGTGACACATTCTTCCTGTTCACCTGAGCCAGGTGCTCTAGGAGTGTCCTTTGTGTGGGGTGTGTGTGCCCTCTTCTTGTAGTTGAGCTTTGATCGCTGTTGACACATCAGTGGGTGGAACTGACCC